TAGACCATTACACCGCCACCGCCATAAATGCTGATTTCGTGGACATTGGAGGGTAAGTAGCGGGTCCCTGGCACTCGCCATATGAAAGCACTGCGAGAATCGGTGTTTAGGCTAAAACATGACTCGTCGATAAACAGAACGGTCGCCCACTGCTCCGTACTCCAATCACTATGCTGCCAGCACCATGTTAATCGGACTCTCCTGTCCATAGACAAGAGTGGGACGCAAACAGCCAGTCTTTTGGCAAACAACCCTCTTTCATTCAGTCTTTTGGAAACAGTCACCCTTGTTACACGGGTTCGTGTGGCTGCATACAGGTTCCGAGAGAGCTGAGAAGCTGTAGCCCCTCTGTTACACCTCACTAAAATGGACAAATAACAATCTTCTCTGTCCATCATGGCTCTTGAACGACGTTGCCAGGCTTTCTCTCGATGGATCCAGTATCCTGGAACTGTTTCCATAGGTTTCCATGTGGACAAATCCATTTTAATATTTAGGGCCGCTCGTTCTCTGAATGCATTGAAAAAAAAAAGGGGAAAATAACGTGAATATTTTAAAAATTTTCAGAAAATGGTGCTGAAAAACCAGTGGTGGGGGAACATGGGATGAAATACAGTATTCAAGTACAAGGACTATGTGTGTTCAAACTTCTGTTAATCAGAAGGCTACGTGTTCAAATCACATTTGTGTCACCGATGAAAAGAATGGTAAAAAAATATATATATTTTTTCAACCTTCAACTACCTTTTAACTGTTTATATAAATAAAGATTGCAGAACTTGACGACAGTAAGAAAAAGATCAGATCTTAAAAATAATGAAGTTGCCACTTCCCAAAATATATTAGTTTCTAGAAACAATGCAGGAAGTGCTGCATTAATGCACTGTCACTTTCTTTGCACTTCCACTTTGCATAAGAAAAATTATCGTAAATCAACCTTGTCTTCTTTTCGAGATGGAAAACTTTTGTTTCAAGATTATTATTAAAACACAAAACTTTTTATTATTTCATAGTACTAACCTCTATCTCTTACTTGGGGGAAAAAAAAATTACTTGACTTTTCGAGTGTGTGGGGAACCTTGTAAATATTTATTATTATTAAATACATTTGAAACTGATAATAGAATAAAAACATAAAACTCAGAATAATAAAAAAATGCTTATATTTTTATATAAAAATAAATTTCATTTACATAATCCAGCAAATACTAAAAGTCAGTTAAGATACAAAAGTATAAATTCTCATAACATCACAACAAGATAAAAATATATTCATAACTAGTAAAGTGCATCTATCTTTCATATGTCATGCTTTACAAACATTGTATGAAAGGGAGTTGGAGAACATAATTGAACTCTTATCCCTGAAGAATATTCTGAAGGTTGGAAGTAGAGAACATTATGTTAATTTTTAATCCCCAATAATTTTAATCTCCATCCATTAAGTGCACAGTCGACTGCTGATTAACCAAGCTGGATTTTTGATTATTGAAGAAATATAGGAAAATCTCATTATCACAAATCACCTACACAAATCTGGCAATATTTGTATCTTCCCAAAAATTCAATATTTGTATCTTCCCATTCTTTTATGATCTGTATCTTTCTTTTGGCAACAGAGACTAATTCGGGCTATATTTTTCAAGACATGATATTCTTCAATGCAAGTATTTCATGATACTCTCTGTACCACAAAATGATTGCCATGTAATAACTGAAAAATGTTTCATTTATAAATATTCATTCATTTCTGCTGACCCCTATGCCCTGTTGTTTTTAAAAACTGTCAATGAAAAATATAAAAAGGGCAAAGAAAAATTCATGACACAACAGCACTGACAGCAAACGATGTCACAGTCTTTGAGAATGGTTTTACCTATAACTAGCAACAGGGAGAGAGAACAGAGCTGACAAAAATTACCCAAGGCCTTCTCAAAGGGTCCACTTCACTCCACTCATTTTTAAAAATAAAATCTGAAGATAGGAGCTCCAGTTATTTTTTTCATATATAATTGTTCAGAAGTCAAAATAATTAACAGCCTGAAAAATTATTTTCAAAAAGAAATTCAGTATTATGAAATCTGCTCTTATATGGATTTATTATACCTAATAATAGAGCCTTTTTGCTTCCAATTTATAGAACTTCGCTTTTTTTGGGAGTGCAAACTAGCAGTGAACTCCTAACAAAAGCAAATTATCACTGTGTCTGAATAGAATTACGGAGTCTTGAAAAACTTGAACATAAAACGTACTTCTCACGCTTGACAACATCAACTAACACTTGTGGCGATGTAACTTAAAGTCAAATTAAAATTAAAATTTAACCTAGTAGCCAAAGACTGCGTAATTTAATTTAAAACTCAGTTAGCTCAAAACTTCTCATCGACGTAACAATTTAAATGACAGCAGCTATAACGAAAAGCCGAATAATTACAATTTTATCAGTGGTGGAAAAACTCAGTTAATGTGGGCTTGAGAGGCAGAAACATACTCTGTCTTAGCATCCAAAACCCTCAACTTAAATACTCTCTAAATAATTTGCATTCTAGTGAGGAAATCTAAAACAGAAGTGATAGTAAAGGCTGAACTTTAAACGGTTAATGCAAAATAATAGTAACCGAACAAATTCAATTTTTTTTGCTATTATTTATTGAAATATAATTTTAAAAACAAATTATGCAAGTATGCATTATTTTCTAATAAAGTAATTATTCATTAAGTTATTCTCTTATGTCATCATACTTAGGGACCCGCACCACAATCAATACCAGAGGTCACAGATTTTCTCTACCGCATTGTCCTTAACATATAAATTTATTTAATTTACAAAATTAAACATAGTAATAAAGGGTTCTGCCTTTCTTATGTGAGTTTGAACTTGTTGACATAGATGTAGCTAGCTCTTGTAAGTATGATTATTTAGGGTGATTTGAAACAATTTCTTTATTTCTAACAACATTTATTCTTTCACTATTTCTCAGTTCTTTTAATCTTGAGAACTAATTTAATTACACCCTGATTATGAACATTAAATTAGCAACAATGAACATAGTCTCCAGATTATACAGCTTGAAAATACAGTCAGCCTGATAAGAAAAATTTTTTACTTAAAATATTAATTACAATAATTATTAAAAATGTTAAGGACAATTATTATACGTATTTCTGAATTAACCAAGGATAATGTTCCTGGTATCACCTTGGTAAATCAGAAGTTGATCATGTCAATATTTGCGAAAAATTTGCACAGCTGAATCTTTAACAATTTCATATAAACACAAATCAGAATCATTTTTCTCCTTCATTAAATGCTTGATTTGCAGGTGTCTAAACAATAATGATTACATTTATCATAAAATAATAATGAATAGTGGCATGCCATTGTTTTAACTGGAGGGAGAAACTGAGAAAATTAAACTTCTTATTGAGTTACCACTAGTTAACAGCATATTTTGGGCAGCTGGGGAGCAGATGAAAGTCAATTAATCCTTCTTCGCATGGAACTGACATAAAACCCTCCCGCTCAAATGAAAACCCACTTAGTCTCCATTGGAGTGAGGTATCATGAGAGGTAAAATGATGCTCCTTTTAATGATTTTAAATGTTAGGTAGAAATATACTAGAATATGCTAATGCATGAAATGTCAGCAGACTAGCATAGTCCCTCTAGTACATAAACAGCTTGCCACTGACTATGAACAATTTTATACAACCCTGGTACAAAAACAAACATACAAGTATTGGAATAAGTACACTTCAAGTGCTACAAAATAAGGAAGACACAGAGAAAATATAATATTAAAAAATATCTGTGACAAATTTCAAAGAAATTAAATGCTCCTATAAATGCTGAAACTATGCAATAAAATTAATATGTATCTGATATATTATGACAAATGGTAATTGAAGTCATATAGGATGTAAAATAATAAGTAAAAAATTATGATTACACAATCAAAAATATTTTGGCACTGCTAATTAACTCCCACCATCCAATAACAGTATATACAAACAAAATAAACATGTGTTATGTAAGTACACAAATTTTTTTATCAAATTTTAAAGCCTTAGAAACCATAAGCACATTTGACAAATTTCCATACAATTCAATACTTAACTGTAGTTATAGCTCATCAGAACTCATGACAGGTACTTCTTTCCTGATAAAAACTCTAATTTCTGCCAAGTACATCAAAGCTCTTGTTAGATAGATCTATGCCTTTCTTTTTCCTTCATATTTTAATCATTTAATACCTTACGTAGCAACAAAAGTAATTGCTTTCCGAATTGTATAGAGAATAGATAAAACTTCAAAAGAAAATTCAATTTTGGAAAAATTATCCCGTCAAAATTATCATTTGAAATACATGTATAAAGAAATTTATTCTGAATTAACATACATACTCATTACTTCTATCAATCTTATTCCCTAGTTTTATTTTCTGACTTATTAAAACTGATGCTAAAATAATTTTTTTTAAATATGTAGGTAAGCAATTCTTCCATCCAAAATTATTCAGGTAGAAAAGTAGATTATGCTTACATGATAAATAATAAAAAGGATATTAAAAATTTATTGTTCTTTTCTTCATCCTTCATTTAATTTCAATCAAAAAGGAAAAGAAGATTCTTTCCTTTTTAAAAAAAAAATTTTAAAACTCATATAATTATTTTACACAATTATTACATCATTATTAATTCTTAAGAAACATATCACACTGCTATCAGTTAATGTTATGGAACATTTTTGTTTAGAAATTAAACTTCGCATAGATTGTTCATGTGCTTGCAATATGTAAGTTCAGTACTCATTGTAGAGCAATCAAAGCATTTGAACAAAGTTAACAAAATACACAGCAAGTAAATAAATTAACAAAATATATGACGGCACTTTTTTCAATAAAAACAAATATACATTAAGTTATTTACACTGAAATAATTTTAGAAATTATAAAGAACAATACAAAAAAAGAAAAAGAAAGGGAGGGAAATGTATGAAATTTGATAAAATGAAAATTATAGTAAATAAAAATAACAGCACATTTGAAAAGAAAATAGCGATTTTTAGATTAAAAGGTCACATTAATCAAAACAATAGCTAAAATGATAATTTAAAATCTAACTTAAGTATTCATATAATAAGCTTTAACTTCTTTTAATAAACAAATCCTGAAAATATAATAGTAAGTTAATTTCCCATCCTTGTTTTGGAAGGAACTTTTTCCAGTTTCAATGGTTGTATGAGAATTTTCCTATGTGTGATCAATTGCAAATGTCACAATCTGAAAATTCCTTGTAAATATATAAATGTCCTCTGTAGCATATAAACTTAACAATGCTATCAAAGTTTAACAAAAATTTTTAAGTAACATAATGGCATTAAAATACGCTTAATGCTAAGCTTTTTTTTTATAAATGTTTACAATTTTAGTTCAAAATTATTCCTACAGTGAATTAGCATTAAAACATATATAAGATAAATAGCATAACTAGATTCAAATAAATCATGTTATCTGGTTTATTATTAAACCAGATGAGCAGCTTTTTTGCAGTATATTTTATAACATGAAGTATTAATTATGAAAACTAATACTGTATTAGAGAATACAAGGGTGCTGAAATTTTTGATCTTCCTTTCAATTCATTGAGCTCAATGACTGCCAGACAGCACTGGACATTTCCACCTATGCTTCTAATTAATTTTACAGCAGCTTCCATAGAACCTAAAGGATATGAGAACAAAATAAAGAAATAGTTTTGCATCACATTATAAAAATATGACGTTATATGTACAGCAAAACTCATTTAACTGAAGTAGCATACATTCTAAACAAAGTTTGGTCTCTTTCAGAGGAAACGTTTCTACCAAGATATTGGAAGAAACTGGGGAAGAGGGGGAAAAAAGAAGAAGAAGCAGAAAGGAAGAAATAAACAATGATTCACCAATGGAGAGATTTACCAGACATCCTGCTTTGATCGGGACTGTCACGGTTTGATGGTATGGTCCCTGCATCCCAGCCGCTTGGTTATTTTGTCCCAATTATTTTGCAAAATTTTAAAACCACAGAATATACATAATTAATATCAATACAATTCTACAAGATTTCACAACATTTTTATGACAGATGTCTTTCTTACAATGAGCTATGGGAGCACAGCTTATATACTTAGATACTTATACGTGTTATACTGGGTTTCTACTGCACTGTGGCAGTACTTCCCAGTAGCATGAGAGATGTCTCGAAGGAACATGGCATTAAAGGTAAATTATGTGGGTTCTTTAGCAGGAAATCATTAGAAGAGGCTAAAAGGGGGGGGAAGAGAGGAGCGATGCAAAGTCCTTGCACGTGTCGCCATCTGGTGGCGATGGATGTGGTAGGAGAAGAGCTGGAAATCAATATGCAGAAAGCCGGGCGCAGGAGCTGGCGAATCAGGAGGCAGCTTGGCGCTTGAGTGTAGTATCACGGACCTGGGAGAGGTGTCGTCAAATATGGCGGTAGAGAGTGACAGAGCCAGAACCATTGGCGAGTGATGAAAAATATTTGCTGAAATAATGCAGATAAAAATTTAGAACTGACATCAAAATAATTTTCATAATCTTGTAGTAGGCCCTTTTAAATCATGTGCAGTGAAGTTGTAATATTTTCACAAAATATTTACGACTGGGCCTCGAATCGTGGATCTCTTGGATTGTAGATACGAGCTTTACCGTAGGGCTAGGCTTCTGCTCATTAAGCTTGCAGGAAATTGAAGTCCTTTCGTATGTGAAAAGATGTTTTCCTGTGGATAAGTGTCCAGGTGAAGTTAAATGTTTGCGTTGATCATATTGATGATATGTGCAGCGTACGGTCTATTAAAGTAATCTTCTTCAATTACTTCATAAGCGAGGATGTTCGAAAAATTTGCGTGGGTGTTTGTTGTAGCTTTTTTGAAGAAATTTGCATTTTATCTGTTTATAAAGTCTTGAATATATTCAATGCGGAGATCATGGTGAAGGTTTTTGTTTCGAATGAAGAAGGGTGCTACAGTAATTAACCTGAGAAATTTGTTTTTTACTATTTCCAGCTTTTCAATCTTTGATTTCTTCGCGTTTGCCCATGCAGGGGAGGCGGGAGCACAGCTTTGGTGAAGCAGAATTTTTTATTTGGATAAACAACGTGGACTTAACATGGTCAGCTCAGGCGTTCCTTTGGAGTCGCAACTCGGGCACCCATGCGTAGCGCTGTCCCAGGATAACTAAGTTGAAGATTTTCTATCATGTGCAGTTGCGAAGCTCGTAGTTTCCATAACAGCATAGAGCAAAGAGAGAAAGTCAGTAACGGGGAATGAGTGTGAAAATCTAACTAACAGTACAGGTAGCCAATCAAAACAAGGATCAAGGATCAAGGAAGTGCAATTTACAGAGTTCATAGGCAATTACGCCTTTACCTCCACATCTTCAAAGGAAATTAAATCATCCGACAGAGGGGATTGTCAAGTATGGTAAAATTTTGATAAGCCGAATGACTTGGAGTAAGTGCCTTCACACTGAGTCAAAAAAAGGCAAAAAACTCAGAAGGTCTTAATTTTGCGCCGAAAAAGGGCCAGAATAATTTAGATAGGGGCAGCCATAAAAATTTTGACTAGAGAAATAAAAGGTGATGTTTCCTTGAACCTTGATAATAATTTTCTTTGCATACGTCAGATGAAGAATACGAAGGAGAATTCCAATGCACGTTCTTCGAGGTGGGAGGGAGGGGGGAACCTGTTTACAGGTCGAAAAAGTAGTTCTGCCAGTGATCAGCTAGGAGGGAGAAGTTTCATTTTTGACCGCTATTCAATGCAGTTTTTAAAGGCCAAAAAGGACGCTGTTAAGCGCCTAAGAAAGTTCCTTTTTAAAGGAAGAGAGAAGCTATAATTTAAAAATCTTTTCAGTTTTATTTCATTTGATAGGTTAAAGTATTTTAAATCAGTCCTATTTGACTGTGATGTTTCTTATTAAAGAAACGTTAAAGGAGGTTCCTCGAGTTAATGCCGTGTGCATTAAAGAACTTTAGAGGTGGGGGGGGGTTAAGGAACGAAGGTAGTTATTACGTGGCTATCAGTGTGCTCATATCTAGCCCGTTTAAATGGCAGAGCTGAATATTCCCTGTTAAGAACCGCTCTGGGTCTTTTCCGGGAAGAAGCAACAGCAGGATCGTATACGGGTAGCATATGAAGCACAGGATTTGCAACACGTTGAATATTTTTGAAAAATTTTTCCTGAAAGTCGCTGTATATAGCGATTAATGGGCATAATTTGAGGTCATTATGAATCTCTTCGTTCCGTACAACCACGGAGCTTTAAGAATTTGCCGAAGCATTTTAGATTGAAAAATTTGGAACATGTTTTCTGTTAGTCAGTGCACATGGGCCCCATACGGGACACGCATACGTAAGAAACGGCCTAATCATTGATTTGTAGAGCAAGATTTTATTATCAGTTGACAGGTTGCTATGACTAGCTAAAAGGGGGCGTAGGGCGGTTTTGACAGCTGTCGCACCCGCTATGATTTTGCGGATGTGAGGCTGCCAAGTTAATTTTGAGTCTAGTAAAACACCTAGATATTTGTAAGAAGAGACGCAGGGAATGGGTTCACCGAAGAGCATTAAATTAAGTAAACTTGGGATGTTTCTTCGGATGAACATAGTGGCAGCACATTTTGCGACATTAATTTTGATTTTATACAGACCGAGCCAGAGTTCTAAAGTCGAAAGGTAACTCTGCAATTGTGAGATTACCTGGAGGGTGTTGGAGTGTTGTGAAATGATGGCTGTATCATCTGCGTATAATGCAAGATCGATATTTGGGGCCTTAGGAATATCATTTACATAAAGGTTAAAGATTGCAGGGGCGAGGAGGCTACCTTGAGCCACCCCAGCATAGATTGGGCGGGGAGAGGAGAATTCGTGGGTTAACTCGCACGCGGAAACTGCGTCCGGTCAAGTACGAGTTAATAATTTTAATAAGATGGGCCGAAAAACCAAGCCGCATGAACTTGTAAATAATCCCGTCATGCCAAGTCCTGTCAAAGGCTTTGGCAACGTCCAGATAGACAATTCCAGTTTTCTCTCGCTTACGAAAGCCTTCATGAATGAATTCCACTACACGGAGTAACTGGTGTACCATGGAGTGTTTAGGTCGGAAGCCGAATTGTTCCAGGATTAGTAAATTTTGATCCCGACAGAATTCATTCAGGCGATTAAGTAAGACAAATTCATAGATCTTAGAGAGAGAAGATAACAGACTTATGGGTCTGTAATTGACGGGCAGGTTTAAATTTTGTCCCGGTTTTGGAATGGGGACGACTGCTGCAATTTTCCAGCAGTCGGGGAAATAGCTTCTCCTGAGCATTAAATTTATGAGAACCCTGATCCATACGATAAACATAGGGAAGTTTTTGATCATGCGATTCGAAATAGAATCTATGCCAGGTGCTTTGTCAGGTTTCAATTTACCAATCAAAACATCCACTGCCTGTGGCTCCAGCCAATCAGGCGGTTACTAAATGCAAGTAGAAGTAGTCCAAGGAGGTAAAGTACGATAAGCAGTAGTATTAAAAAGAAATGCCAGTCACTGAAGCTTCAGGTGAATAAATTAAAAATCTGTTGCCAATAATACAATAAACATACTTCAACTTTTTGATGAAACAGCGATTGTGAAAGTTTTTTTTTTTTTTTTTTTTTTTTTTTTTTTTAATCAGCTAAGCAATCTGGAATAATAAAAGTTGTGAAGAAAAAGATACAATTTTTCAGTCATTTCAAAGAAAAAAAGATACTTTTCCATTTTGCCGGCACAAACGATAAAGTCGCCAAAAATAGTACAAACTCATGCCAAATGGAATATCCTTGCTGGTAACCTTTTATGCCTCATTTTCAACACAAGTCGCAGCCATCTCTTATCAGATTCATTGTTTCTTTCAATCCTCGCAAACAATGACATAGAATTTTTACCAGGTAGTTCAACTTTATGCCCTAAGGCCATTCGCAGTAATTAAGTCAATTAGGATGCAATCACACCACTCACCAGAAAAGGAAAATATAGAAAAGGCAAAGGGTTAAATTTATCAATTCAAATAAGACTACAATAGCAAAGTAAAGTACTGCGGTTTTACATAATTTCTGAGTAAGCTATTTGTACGAATTGAAATAATTCTTGCATTTAAACTTGTATTCCATATTAAGATTTAACTTGAAATTAATGTAGATAATTACTGAAAGAATTAGATTTTTGTAGCGTAGTTTATGTGAGATGAGGTCACTTGTCACGTGATATGAAACGCCAAATCAGGATGTTGCACCATGAAAGCATAGTAAATTCTTAAATTAATGCGTTTTGCAAAGTTATTGTCTTTATTTATTGTCTTTTTACAAAATTTTAAATGATATTAAAATGTTTATGACTTAAAAATAAAAAATTCCTTAGAACTAACAAACATTAAAATTTTTTATGTGCAAACTGTGTGTTGTTGCCAATAAAGTCTGCTTGGCGAGATTTGCTGTGGCGAAATGGAAAAGTACCGAAAAATAATTCATCACTCAATCTTGTTCAAATAATATAATACTGTTATGAATTTTGTATACAGACAAATAATTTTAATGAAATTGTTATACTTTTCTGCATAATGTAACATTACAATCTACAGAGACAATGCTCCGCTAGAAAAATACGAATACAAGGGCAAGTCTATTTAACATTGAGTAAATGACTATATCACTAATTTGGCAAGATATCGACAAGCTGTTAGCGATTTTAGTAATTTCAAGAAGCAGAAAGTACTAGAAATATCTCGACGGTTAGGTGAAAACTATATGAGACCAAAGAGAGCATCACTTTCTCAGTAGTTGTGAGTTGTTACTTCAACATGAGTACTGACACTATTGGGTGTTTGGAGTATTGAGATATCTCTAAGTTAGCTTCACTCTTCAGATGCGTTTTGCACTGCATTGTGCTTAACATTCTTAGAAGTTTGAAGTGTAACTACTGTATCTGAGATACTGTGAAAAGTTGTACATCTATTTTTGTGGAAAGTTCCAGAATTTGTAGGTTGTTGATAAAATTTATTTTATGAAAGAAGTGTTTCCTTTCATAAAATAAATTTTATTAACAACCTATCATCAGACCAGTGTGCATTCAATCTATTACCAACCTGTATGCACAGAACAATTTTTGGTGTCAGGAGTGGGGTTGAATGCCAATGATAAAAGAGATGGATGAGCAATTAAGACAGCTGGTGGCAGCCTTTGTTGCATTCAAAGAAGATATGTAGCTGGCCAAGTAGAGATGAAAGGGAGATAAGAAGTGACGAATGTGGTGCAAGAAGGGATGAAAGTGGGCTAATAAAAGATTGAAGCTAGTCAAGAAAAAATGAAAACAGAAATTACTGCCATAATAGAAGACAAATTCAAGGCTATAGAAGGCAGGACAGACACGGCTGAAGACAAATCTGGAGAAATTCAAGAAAGAGTTTCTGCTGTGGAACAACAAATCAAAAGTTTCTGCCGTCCAACAACAAATCGAATAACAAACTGATGGCAGGAGGTAAACTCATCTACATGCTGCCCTGTGTTGTCTTCCAGACTGTGTCAGGGATAAAATGGACATTGTTGGAAAACTGAACTTTTAACATCCGGTTTGGACGTGTCCCCTACCATCACACGGCATATGTGGCAGATATTACAGACTTTTGCATACTCATATTAAAAGAAGTGGTTGTACTCCAGTGACCAGCAGTAAATGAAACCATAACTTTCCAGAATTCTCATCTTCAGAGAGCCTAACATCAGAGTTATTTCAGAATGCACAACTATGCCACGAAGAGAGAAATGCTGCAGATAAGGTTTGCACACATTTCTGCCATGGAAATTAAATACTTTTAAGGATTTTTAAGGACTATCAATGAAAAAAATTTTAAGTCTATTAAGCAAATAAGAACTGAATAAACTAAACAAATTATCCATACTTGGACTTTACTTTTGTAATCCCACTTTTGCAATTTGTAAAAATAAAATAAATCTGTAAATAGGATATTCCCAAAACAGAATTTTTATAACAGTAAAATGTTACATAAACATAACAACAAAATACTTTGTAGTTATTATTCATAGTATTTGCTGCATACAAATAATAACAAAATAGCTCATCTATTACATGAATCAGTTGACATTAAAACAGAAATATGGATTTACCTCCAGTTGCAATAAGATCATCTATAATAATTATATTTTGTCCTGTCGTAACAGCATCTACTTGAATTTCTAAAGCATCCTGTCAAAAGTAAATAATAAAATATAAATTAATTCACTTAATAACATTTGAAGATGACCCAATTACAGAACATTATGAAATCTGAAGCAAATAAACACCACAAATGCACTGGTAATTCATTTAAAAACATACAATTGCAGCCACACTTTAATAATGTATATCCATTAAAAGGTACATAATTTGGTTTTATAATAAAGGTACAAATGAATGAGTTCTCACAAAAAGTCCCAGAAAGCTTTCCAGCACTTTTCCAAGTCACATTCAACAATCCTCATATACACAAACCTCCAATAATTACTGTGCAAAACAAACAGAATATGCTTAGTCTTATAATGTTTTCCAGTCCACATTTACTTCACATATTCATTGCATATCACTACAGTAAAAGATGTGTACAGTCAAAAGTCGTTAATCCGGACTCGTCGGGACTTCGGCGATTCCGGATTATCGATTTTTCCGGATTATAGATCATCTGTTTAAATCTGGTAAAATGGCATGCAGAAATTATAAAATTAAAAATATGAAACCATAATTTACAAAATAAAGAACAATTATGATCTAAAGGGTATCAAAATTTACAAAAAAAAAAAAAAAGCTTAATATTTATTTGTTTACTTTATTAAACATTTCTTTCAATGCAAGTTGTTTAAGTTGCTTCGTTCTTTATGTGATAATACATTCTCTTTAATTCTCTAAACAGACATAATTTCTTGTTCAGTTACAAAGTTCCACTGTTCAAGTCCTATAATTGCTGTGTCGAGAATACCGACTAATTTGTCAATTGAAATTTTTTCGTTTTCAATAACCTCTGTTACTTTCTTCGCTATCGGAGGCGAATTATAATGACGAGCCATTTGATTTTAATCATATCAAAGACGGAGTACATCGAAATGAAATACTACATTTAGTAAGCAATTATAAGCCAAATAAAATAAAAACATCTGCCCTTAAGATAAGGATAGTGTTGACAGATCAACTTCCAATTCATTGCGCTCGGGGGCGTTAAAGATAAACAAAGTTTAGATAAACAAACGTTAAAGTTTAGATAAACAAAGGATATACCTTTATCCATTTTTTTGCAGCAATTCCACTTTTTGTTTAATGGACTCCGAAAGATACTTTCACTTTTTATATCCTTTACATATTAGTAAATATATATCGGAAATTCTATTTGACATAATCGAAAGTTCAAGCTTACATTTATAAAATTGCTCTAACAGTCTGCAAAATTAATAAGCCGGATCCAATTGGAAGATTAAGAAACAACGCAATCTGCAACATTAACTGAAATAGATAATTAGATAATTTTAGCTTAGCTTATCCCGTCCGTTATACATTAAATGCGCATTCGTAAACGACGATTCGTACGATCATTCCGGATTATGGGTGTCTGAATTAACGACATTTGACTGTATTTGGTACTTCTTTGTTATAGTGGCCCCCAATCATATTTGTTGATTTTAGATTTGCACCAAGACCTCAGCTATATTTTCACCAAGTTTGTAAAGCACAAATGTAAAAATAAACAACACAATATACAGTCAAAAGTCGTTAATTCGGACACCCATAATCCGGACCTCAAAGCTACAAACTTTCCGTGCATGCGTCGCGTTGACGTATGCGTAAGACGTTTACGGCAGCAAATATGCCTGTGCGCATGTTCAAAATCGTTTAGGAATGTGCGTTTAATGTATAACGGATGGTATAAGCTAAGCTAAAATTATCTAATTCAGTTAACGTTGCAGATTGCATTGCTCCTTAATCTTCGAATTGGATTCGGCTTATTATTTTTTGCAGACTGTTAGAGCAGTTTTATAAAAGTAAGCTTGAACTTTCGATTATGTCAAATAGAATTTCTGATATATATTTACTAATATGTAAAGGATCTACAAAGCGGAAGTATGTTTCGAAGTCTATTAAACAAAAAGTGGAATTGCTGCAAAAAATTGATAAAGGCATATCCTTTGTTTATCTAAACTTTAGTGTTTGGTTATCTAAACTTTGTTTATCTTTAACGCCGCAGCAAGGTGCGCAATGAATTGGAAGTTGATCTGCCAGCACTATCCTTATCTTCAGGGCAGATGTTTTTATTTTATTTGGCTTATAATTCCTTACTAAATGTAGTATTTCATCTCGATGTACTCCGTCTTTGATATGATTTAAATTAAATTCCTCGTCATTATAATTCGCTTCCGATAGCAAAGAAAGTGACAGAGGTTATTGAAAACAAAAAAATTTCGATTGACAAATTAGTCGGTATTCTCGACACAGCAATTATAGGACTTGAACAGCGGAACTTTGTACCTGAACAAGAAATTATGTCTGTTTATAGAATTAAAGAGAATGTATTATCACATAAAAATTGAAGCAACTTAAACAACTTACATTGAAAGAAATGTTTAATAAAGTAAACAAATAAATATTAAGCTTTTTTTGTGTGTGTGTATTTTGATACCCTTTAGATCATAATTGTTGTTTATTTTGTAAATTACGGTTTCATATTTTTAATTTTATAATTTCTGCATGCCATTTTACCAGATTTAAACTGATGATCTATAATCTGGAAAAATCAATAATCCGGAATCGCCGAAGTCCCGACGAGTCCGGATTAACGACTTTAAACTGTATAATAATAACAATAATACCACATGTGATTTCCTAAGAATATTTTAAAGAATTCTTATCCTTTTCATTATTATTTTATCACATGTAAATGTTCCAGTCAACAGCAGCACTTTCACCTATATTAAGCTGTTTGTTATACCATTTCATGAATGTCAACTTCTCTGCCGGAGAATTCATAAATCTAATTGCAGTGACAAATGATATTCTGGAACCACTGAACCAATTTCCAACACAGAGGCCCTTCCTTTTACAATTTTTAACACTACACCTCCAAATGTTTCGATTGTTAACATAAAGTTTCATGTTGTGGATATTTTTGCATACTCACTTATCGGGTAAAAGAGCTTGTTTTTGAAAAAATATCACAATATGTAGATTTTTTTATAAGAACAGATTAATAAGTATCTCTTTATTTCTTACTGGAAAAGTTAGTTTGGTATACCTTCCAAGGATCTAGAATGGATCAATGACGTGCACTGAGGTACCACTATAATGTCAATACAAGGGAGAAGTGTAGCAGAGGTTCAACTGGGAAGTAAATATGCATCAAATAATATTATGCTCCACTTAGAAAAAAACTTTACATGTTAACATAACCACTTTAGTAGAAGTCATCAAAATTTCAGATGTGCCAAACTCTGGTGGTTACAGGTGAAAACACTACAGCAAAAACATACTGGAGGGAGAAAAATCAAGTCAAAAACATTGTCCTTGAAAATAAAGATGTTACAAAAATCACAATTTTAAAACAATGCCGTAGAAAATATCATGGTAAAAAATAAAGCATCTACAAATCATCGCATGATAACCTTGCAAACATGTTTTACAGGCTTTAAAAGTTGTAAATATATATTCGCATAATGATTTCTGAGCACAAGACACGACGACTCCTTTTTTTCACATTTTTGAATGAATTAATATTTTTTTTCCTAAAAAAAGGAAGATAGAAATTTAAACATTCAAAAACAGAAAATCAGATGAAAATTTATGCTATGAATAATAGTTAATAGAATTTTAAACTTACGTAGCTAACTTTTAAAGTACATTATTCAATTAATGTCTTTTATGAAGTTTTATTGGTAGTTTTCATGAAAAAATTTAAATGATTAAAAGAGGAAATTAAAACTGATTAGAAGAGGAAAGATGAGAAACTGCATGAGGTGATCTATATTAAAATTGTTTAATTTGTTATCAAATGCATTCTAGCAAAGCATACTAAGGTTACTTGCCTAAAGGGAGAGATGCATTTGTAGAGTCATTCCTCAGGAACTGGCTAATACCCATGCTATAGATTAGAAAAACCACAAAAATATCATGCAGCCAATTGTTCACTGGGTCGAACTACCAGTATTTAGAGACTCTACTGCTTAGGCAATGGAAACCATTTTGGTACTTTTCTGTTTCGCTGCCACAGGCGGTTAAAGTTGCCAATAATGGTACAACTGATGCCAAACGGAATATCCTCGTTGGTAGCATTTTACGCCTCATTTCAAAACAAGTTGCAGCCATTTCTTATCAGATTGATTATTTCTTTCAATACTGGCATACAATTACAGTAGAAGTTTTACAAGATAGTTCAATTTTATGCCCTAAGGCCATTTGCGGTAATTAAGTCAATTAGGATGCAATCACACCACTCACCCGAAGGCAAAAATATAGAAAAGGCACAGTCAAGGGTTAAATTCATCAATTCTAATGTGAATGCACTAACAAAGTAAAGCACTGCAGTTTTACATAATTTCTAAGTAAGCTATTCGTACGAATTGAAATAATTCTTGTATTTGATCTTGTATTACAAATTAAGATTTAACTTGAAATTAATATAGATAATTTCTAAGAGAATTAGATTTTTGTAGTGTAGTTTACATGAGATGAGATTCCTTGGTGATCACATGATATGAACTGGCGAATCAGGATATAGAACCATGAAAGCATAGTAAATTCTTAAATTAATGTCTTTCGACTCGTTCTCTCTTTTTTTTTTTTTTTTTTTTTTTTTTTTGGTAACTGCTTTCTCATATTACTTTTATCACTTTAGAAACTCTCCCACTTTTAAGAACTGCGGAATCATTTTCTGAGTTTTTTCCCTATGTTATGTGCATATTTGTTACAAAATCGCCCAAAGTTTTGTTACTCTGGGCTAGTGCTCCTGCGCGGGAGCCCGTTTCTGCGATCTGCGTTCGCCTGAGTCGTCTTTTTAAAAATTTATTGTCTTTATTTATTAGCCTTTTTACAAAATTTTAAATGATATTAAAATATTTAGGCCTTCAAAATAAAAGTTCTAAGAACTAACATTTGTTAACATTTTGTATGTGTATACTGTATGTTGTCGCCAATAAAGTCTGCTTGGCGAGATTTGTGCTGGCGAAACGGAA